ATTCACAGTTTTAAGTCAGATTCTTACTTACCTTGTCTAACTTCTCCTATCGTTTCTTTTTTATATTTTTCAATAGTGCAAACATCAATTTTTTTCCACTTTTAAGCCAAATTTTATTCATGTCTTTTGTTTTTACATCACATTTATTTCCATATATACACTTTCCTCCACCCATTGAGGCCTCCATGGTTATAAATATAAAACAAAACAAAACAAAACATAAAATCCAAACAAGTTCAATACGACTGACAGATAAGCAGACCACATCTGAGAGCTTGTGCTACATTTCACACTCAGAGCTCTTAAGCTCTTCAAAAACTTTTATCTTTTTTCTATGTGCAAGATTAGTCAAAATGATAAAGCATTAATTTAAAAATATGCCTATCTAGTCCTATTTGGGATTTGGTTTAAAAATTTTAATGAACATTTTTCTAAAACGCCTAGTACTTACAGAATATATGTCTTTGAAAACTTGTAGCTATTCCATTTGCATTTCAGTGACACAGAGTTACATTAACATACTATTTTTCCAATGACCAAGAGAAGAAATTAAACACAGTGACTGGTATGTAGCAGATGCTCGATACATTTCTATTATGTTAATAAAATTACAAATGAAAAGCCAAGCCGGGTACCATAATTGCAAGAGGTTAAAAGAATCCTCCCCCAAAATCATTAAGACAAGAGAGTTCACTTAATTCCTATCATGGGTAACTTTTTATCCAGAAAATATAGATTCTAATAAATTATTAGTTACAGAATCCTAGTCTTTCACGACTAAATATCAGTGAGCCAATGAAAGCTCAGTATCAAGAATTCTTAACAAAGGCCATATTGACATTTCAACAGGAAATGAATCTATTTTACGCTGGCCCCGTTGGTACTCAGGGTCAGTGTTTTCATCGATGCCAAGTGTTATTTGTCTGAGGTAATAACCAAATTTTTCAAAGGTGCTTCTCCACATTTGAACTTTCCAACAGATCATAAAGGAATTTATATTTTCAAGAAACGTTGTGGCATATCTTCTAAATTACAGATTTTTAAGAAAAGAGAAGACAGCTAGCTGTCTTTCTGGATACTTGGAATAAATCCATCTGGGAGAGAGCTGAATGAATTACCTTCTTGAAATGAAATCTTCTTTGAGGTCAATAATTATCTGAAAAATCTGTCTTCTAGGCTTTTAAAATACAGATCTAAATTTAATTTCTAGTGACATTAAATAATATTGTTTCTAAGCAGAGGTTCTGGCCACAGTAATATGGAAATCATTAGCAAAATTATCTTAAACATGGGTCTTTTGAGTTATAGCGTTTTCCACGGAAAGAAAGTTTCATATTTGTTCAAGTATGTAACTGATAGATAGGCAAGGAGACATAATAGCTTAGCGACCTAGAAAGGCCTGGATTCAAGGGCCTGCCTCTGACACTTAGTGGGGAGTGTAAGTAACCTGAGGCAATTCACTCAACCCCTTATCGCTCTAGGAAGTTCTCTAACACTACAAATTGGGCCAAAATATTGACCTACAATTGGCTGAGGAAGTTTACGCCAATGAAATCACGAGACTAGCGTCTATCCCTGACTTATACCAAACACCCAACACCACACAACCAGTAGCTTTGGCCAAAGAGAACGAACATAATGAACAACAAATCCTAACAGGCAATGGCTGGATTTGGCTAAAGCACTTCAATGAGCTTCTTTCCAATTTCCTTAAGGTGCTCTCTCGCCTAAAAAGCTGCAATGGTCCCTCCACTCACAGCTCCCCACCCCCTTACTCATAGGATAAAGTTCAAAGGCCTAGCCAGACACATAGTTGTCTTAAACTCATTAATATCTCTTGAATGAATATTCATTAAGTCAGTAATTTGGAAGACCAGTAGCAAAAGTGCAGGTGCCACCTAATTTACACATTCACAAAGATAGGAAAGGCAAGTATCTGGCCATTTGGAATTGCTAACATTTAGGTACATCAGAATACTTCGTCCTAAATGGTCTGATTCAAAAATGCCTATAAATTTTTCTCATATTTTCTGTACTGCAAGTTAACTAATAAAACCTTTATTTATGAACTTCCCTTTGAAAGCCAACTAGAGCAATCCAAAAGGCTGTTAATTCAATTCACTGGCCATTTAACTACTGCCTGCTACATTCAGGGCGCTGGGTACACAGCAGAGTTGCTTAGAGGTTAGATGATCACTAATCAGGGACGGGCTGTTGTGCAGAGGGGATTTCTGCACAGGGAAGGAAAGGAGAGCAGCCAGATGACAGGATCAAAACGTTGCAAACACAAAATACTGACTATCACAGACTTAGAGCTGGAGGGTCCATCTAGGCTAACCCCTCATTCTACAAATGAGGAAACTGAGGCTTAGAAAGGTGAAGTGACTTGCCCAAATCAGGATTTGAATCTAGCACTTTTCCAAACTGACCTCTTAGATTCCATCCTCCTCCACTGATGGGGTGAGCTCAAGCATAGATCTCTCCTGCCCCTCGCACCAAAGGGAATCTGGCTCCCATTTGTCTACAGACTCCTGCTCCTTATCTCCCTTTGAAAGCCTTAGCCCCACCTTTTGGCCTTACTCAGATGCCTTCCAGTTCCCTTCATTACAGGCCCCATAAAACACTTAAACTTTCAGGTTCCTTATCTACTCCCCTTATCTCCCTTTGACTGAAGCCTTCCAGTTCCCTCCATTAGCTATTCCCATTGTCTATTCAATCTCTCAGACCTCCCCAATTAGAATTCTTACTTAGACCCTTCTCCCAGCCCCCTTCTCTGGCCACCCAAAGTTACTTTAGTATTTAAGATCCACCCTGGCCTCCATTCAGATGCTGAGAATCTCATGCCCAAAAGGCTGAGACTTTCTCGGGCCCACTCGTCCTTATGGGCATCACCTGGCCTATGTGATTTATCACTAATAAGCTTTTCCTCTGGCTGAAAGATTTGAGTTGAATTCTTTCAGGCAGGGCCCGGCATCGTGATCTTAGGGTTCCCATGAGCACCCCAAAACCTCTAGACCTCTTCACCATGACTTATGAACCCCTTTTAACCTGCCCATCCTCAGCAGACTTCTCAGCTCTTTCATTAAATGAAAGGGCAGGACTCCATGCTCTCTTAGATTCCTCCCACAATCATCAGTTAGTATTGGTGTTTCTAACATCACATACGGTGCTTAAAATTTTCAAAAGTGTTTTACTGACACTTCTTTATGTGACTTCCCCTTCCAACTTAATCACCCCTGCCCCTAGAACTTTGTCCTGTGACACAACAGTTGTGTAAGGTCCTCTTCTCCCCTGCTGTAAAATTCCTCCTGGCACCAGTGTAAAGAGACATACAAAGACAAGATCAGATAAGGGCAGTCTCAGAGTAGCAATATAAATCTAAGCATCCACAGGTCAGCTGGAAATGAACTGACCCTGCCCCCACCAGGGCTGAAGCCAGCCACTCACAGTGAACAAATAAATCTCTTTAGCATTCACTGCTACATACTTTGTAAGAAGTGTTCTGGCCACTGCACTAAGGGGCCCAGGAACCATATTTCTATCCCATCCTAAACAGCACTCTGAACATCCTTCCCAATCAGGAGCTTTGTTTACTTAATTTATTCTTTAAAATTTTCTTATTTAATACAAGATCCCAATCCAACCTTTTCAGCTAACTCTAATAATACAATGGAGTTTTGTTTTCTCAATTGATTTGTACTGAATATTTCTTTTGTAGTACAGATCCAAAATTCAACTTTCTCAGCTAACTGGGAGGGGAAGGAGGGAAAAGAAAGAAGTAATTGGAACCTTTAAATAAATAACTCCTTTGTGAATGCAATTAACAAACCTATAATTTTATTTAAGGAAAAGGCTATAAATCCCCACTGGGCACAGAGTTGCCCATGAGCCTTTTTATGTATGTCCTCTGTGCACATACCGGGCACTTGTCTGATATTAAGGTTAATAACAACTTTCTACATAAAAGGCTTGCAGCTTCACCTGAGAAATGGGAAGTAATGAGAGTGTAATTACAAGCCAAAGATGTCACCAGAGCTCTTCCTGGTTATACCAAAGAATCCAAGCCAAGGGAGACATGATACCACTCAGGATGTTTCCTTAAGTACCCTGAAACACTCCAATGTTGGCCATGTTATTTTGCCTTTCAGCTCAAGTCAAATAGCAGTAAGAGGTTTTTTTTTTAAAAAACAAGTTAAATTCACTCTTAAGAAAATTTCAACATCTGTATCAATAATATGGTGTTCTCGTATTTACATAGATAGGATATTCAAACACTTTCTAGATATATACTCCTAGTCCCCCTCTGTGAAAGGTTAAAAAAGTACTGAGGAAACTCAGACACAGACAAGGATTTAAATGACTAATAAAGGGTAAAATGTCCTATTGGGAGGAAGAATCTCTTCTGCAAAGCTTGACCTCTCAAAACATTATTTGACTACATAATAAATGTTCTGTCGTGATAAGGGAAAACACAGCAGGAAGAGGAAAGTTTAAATTGTTTTAAAAAATCAAACAAAATCCAAATCACCAAATGAGAGTATTTAAACCTAAGTGAAGAAAAGAATTCATAACATTCGAAAAGTTATAGGGCTCTACCTATTCTTTACATTTGTAAAACAGGTAAACAGCCCTTCTTTATTTCAATGCAAGAAGTTTCCTTCAGAACTCAAGAAGCCATCAATACAATAGACTCTCCAGAGCAGGCAGTTAATTCTGGCTTGTTAATGGTGAATTGTTACATCAACAATTTTGTCCAGTGAATAAGCCTTCCTCACCCACAAAATCTAAGACTTTGGAGGAGTTTCTCAGTTAGTTATACTTCTGGATATCATCTTACAGGCCTCAGTCATCAGAGGCTACTGGAGCTCCCAAATTGTGGAGCACAAGAGCCATGCTTGGCAAAAAAAAAATCCCAGAAGGTTTACTTCTCTTAAACGTCTCAATATTAATATGACTAATATGTATCATGCACACGGAGATCAATACTTGAACTCCATTACCTCCTTATCCTTCAGGCCCAGGAGCAACACCTCTTCCATAAGGTTGAGGCGAATATCCTTCGAGTCCCCGGAGTCATCATTATCCAGACCTCTCTCTTGGCTGGAGTCTTCCTCACCTTCCAACTTCTTTTCAGAATTCTTGCCACCCTCAGTTCGCCGCCGGCCTCGGTGAGTCAAAGATGACATTCTTACCTGTCCCAGGGGAGGTTGGACAAACACTTATACATATATGTGTGTGTGTGTGTGTATGTGTGTGTGTGTACAGAGATGATGGGGTATGGGCCCCAAGTTGGGACCTTTGCCCCTTACCCCAAAGGGAGTTTGGATCCCACAGTCTAAGGGGACTCTCCCTGAATTCTCCCACTCGATCAAGTGCATCTGAAGCTCCCCTGAGGCTATGATCCTATCAACTGGCCTTTCATTATGGCCAAGCCCAATCTCCCAATTCTCTGTCACCCTTAACCTGGCCCATTACTCTCACCTTCCTATGGCCCCTGACTATTTCCCACCCTAGACCTTATCTAGACCCCATTCTCTATCTCCCAGTCACTCCAATCAAGATCCTTCCTGGATCTCTCCCACAGTCTTTCTGTATATAAGGTCCATCTTGTCTCTATTAAGGTGCTTAGATTCTTATAATATAGCTAATAGCTCATTAACGTTCATACTCCTTAAGAGTGTGGCCAATATGGTGGATATTCTAATAAACCTTGTCTTTGGCTGAAAGAAAGGTAGGGTCAAATTTTTTCTCACAGGACCTGTGTGTTGTGATTTTGGAGTCCCAGCACCCCTAAACCCCTAAAACTCAACAGAGACACCCACAAATGCATACATATGTATATATATATATGCTCAAGTATCTCTCAATACGTATCTCTATATATGTCTTAAAACAAGAAATACTTAGAAATTTAGGTTGACAATTGAATGAAAGGGGAAGTTTTTAACAATGAAATTGGAAAATCCTATTTGCTTTTAAAAAGGCAATGACCAGACTGCACACGTATAACTTTATCAAGCTGCTTACTTTCCCAATGATGAGGGAGGGGAGGAAGGGAGAATTTGGAAGGCAAAACTGTAAAAAAACAAAGGTTAAAAATTGTTTTTACATGTAATTGGAAAAATATTAAAATTCATTTAAAAAATAAAGTAAATATGCCTTTGTTAAAAGGGAGGGGCAATGACCCAGTTTCTTCATATAACAAGTCAGATCAAACCATGAAACCTGCTGCTCAACTAGATATCCTTATGATTAATATATCATCCTTTCTGTCTAGAGCTCAAGTGTGAATCTTCTATGACTTAATGCAAAATATCCTCCACACTGTATCTACAAATTAAAAAGCCTGACTTATTAACACAGTTCATTCATTCATCTAATAGACACTTTTTAGACACCTGGCTGCTAGATACTGTGAAAGCTCTAAAAATAAGTAAGAAACACTTGTCTTCAAGAAGCTGACATTCTAGTAGGGGAAATAAGACACAGACTCAAACAGCTATGACAAAAAATTTAATATAAAAGCATGTGAAAGAGGTAAAAAAAACAAAAAAGGTTCTATGATATTTATTTGAAGGAAAACTTCACTTTAGAGCAGACAGAGTAATGAAAAAGGCTTCATGAAGGAGGCGACTGAGCCTTAAAAGATGGATAGGATTTCAACAGGCAGAGATAAAGAGATGGGCATTTAAGCAGAAGAAAAACAGCATGAGCAAAAGTGGGAAAGCATGAGATGTACTCCAGGACTGGGCAAGCAGCACAATCTGGCTGATGTTCAGAATTCAGGATGGGGGAACAGTGTGAGATAAAGTTGAAAAGGTAGGTAGGCTAGAACCAGATTGCAAATAGCCTTCCTCGAAAGCCAGACTACAAGGTTTGAAGTTCATTTGATAGATGGTGGTTTCTGTTGTGAAGTAAAGGGATCAGAGCTGCAAAGTAGGAAAGTAAATTTAGCAGTGGTGTGCAGGATGAACTGGAGAAGGGAAAGAAAGAATGAAGACAGAGAGACAGAAAAAGGTTATTACAACAGCCTGAGGTGAGGAGGGCTGGCCTAGGATGATAGCAGTGGGAATGATCAGAAGACAGCAGATTTAAGAAATTTTGTGATGGTGGAATCCATAAGACTTGGTGTTTCATTAGATATGGAAGATAAAGGACAGAAAGAGTTAAAGATGAGTTCAAGGCTGCAAGCACGGGTAATCACGAGAATTGTAGCACATCCATAGTAGTAATGATGTGAGGTCACGGTTATAATTCTGTCTTCATGGTGACTAGTCAACTTTGTTTCATTCCATGGCTAGTGAAGACTTAATGTTGGTTGGTCAGGCAACAGGTATTTATTAAGCACCTACTATGTGCTATGCACTGTGCTAAGTAGCGGTTAAACTAATCTTAGCCAGCCCTCCATTTGGCAAATGCACACAGTTGGTCACAACAGAAAGTGGCATGGGAACGTGGACAGATTTACATCTGTTGAGAGTACCACCATCACCTGAGTCACTCAGCTTTGTAACTTTAAAGTCATCCTTGACTCTTTCTTTTTATTCACTTCTAATATCCATCAACTAGATTCTATCTCCATAAAATTACCCAACGCCTTCTCTCTATTCACAGCCACCAACTTGACTCAGGACCTCCAGACTTCTACCTGTTCTATTTTACTATCCTGCTAATAGATCTTCCATCTTCAATCCTAACTGCACTATTAGTATTTCCTTATGTTTCATCCTCCACTCGGTTTGCATTTGCATACACCATCCCCTATTCCAGGAATGTGCTCTCTCCTCCAGGACACCTTCAAAAACATGCTCCCCTGCCACCTCCTTCCCTAAGACTTCCTCTGACTTCCTTAACTGCTAATGCTCACCCATGCCTCAAATTACTTAGTACTGTATTTGTGCATGTGCTATAGCTCTCCAATAAAACATACGGATCTAAACACAGGAACTGCTTCATTTCTGTCTTGTACTGTCCATGCCTTGTGCATAGTAGGAGCTTGGTTAATGTTTGTTCTTCCATCACTACAAATCTATTTCTGACACTGTAAAAACTCATACCAAACGATCTCCCCACGGTTCATGTGTGGCATCTTTTTCAAATCTAAAGGAAAAGTGCTGCCATCAGACTACATTTGAAAAATAAAGGTGTAAGGAGAAGGGTAATGATAGCCAGGCCATCCACATACAGGTACCCAAGAAGTGAGAATAAGAGTGCAAGTGAGCAGTGCACTGGAAACATTTCTTTAGTTGAAGGTTGAAGGAAACTTCCCTAGTAACAGGGCTTAGAGTTAAAAGGGGGCTCACTAGTCCACCTCCCCTATTTTACAGATGAGGTAACTGGAAACTCCAAGAGAGGTAAAGTGACTTGATAAGGTCACATAGTTACCAACAACAGCAGGTGTGCCATTTACCTATTGCTCGGTTCTTTCACTTGAGCCTCACAAACAATCCTTCCAGGTAGGGACTAAGAGGAAATTGCTGCTGACCTCAGTGATGTGCCCACGTGTCAGCAGTTGGATCTGGGGGGAGGGGGGGCCTCCGATTCCCAGGTTCAGGACCTCATCCAGGACCCTGTCCTTTCTTAGAGGACACTGTACTTTCAAATAGCCACGCTGTGCTTCGGAGGAACCTCAATACCGACTGTACATAAGAAAAATGTATAAGCAACACTTAAAGCGGAAAAAGATGTAAGGTCGAATCCCTCACAATACGGTTTCTTATGCAAAATATGTTCCAGGTAGGCACACTCGTGGGGTCGTTCCAGCAGGCTGGAGGGAAGCCTACTTGGAAGAGGAAGAGGAGGGAGAGGAGGGAGGAGGAAGACGAAGGTAAATGCTCGCATCAGGCACTGCAGGAAGCCGGAGCGTACGTCCTGGCCGCCCCACGGCCGAGAAACTTCAAGCCCCGCGTGACCGTGACCAAGAAGGAGAACTTCCTAGCTGGACCTGTGCGGGGGCCACGTACGTGGGTGTGCAAGCTGGCTAGCCGACGGACAACCAACAGGTCACCGCAGCCCGCGCCCGCTCTGACCAGCAAACAGGCGGCCCGGCGGCCGGCAGCGGGCAGAGGCCTCGGGCGGACTCACCTGGCGTCTCGGCGGCTCCTCGAGATGCGGGGCCCGGACGGCGTCGGGCTCCCCTTGGCTCAGGACACCTGTTCACCCTCCGCTCCTTCGGGGTGAGAAACTTCTTTGGCGCCGACGAAGCACCAACTTTACTTCCTGATCCTCGGCTGCAAACAAGGACTAACACATCAGCTTCCTCGGCGATCGCTAGGCAACCTAGCTTGGTGTTTCCGCTTTCGGCCAATCAGGGCCCGCCAGGGCGGAGCTCCAGCCAATGGGCGGCAGAGAGGGGGTGGGCGTCCCCCTCCCCCCCCCCCCCGCTATTGTGTTGCCGTCCAGACAAACCCCACAAAAAAGAGGTAGGTCGAGGCTCGGGGCTGACAGCCGGCCAGCCCAATGGCGGACCCCTAACCTGGAGGGCACGGAAGGCAGCCCACCCTCGGGGCCGGCCGAGGGAGGGGCGTGACCCACAGCCCCTGGAGCAGGTGTGCGGGCGGAGCATCCTGGCAGGACTGGGCCGGGCTGGGCCGGGCTGGGCCGGGGAGGATGGGAGGAGGGAGATGGGGGAGGGGGTGAGGAGGGAAGCGGGAAGAGGTCAAACCAGCCGCTTTGGGGTGGGCCCAGAAGGAGTGACGTCACCGGCCGGGCCTGCGGGCCAGCAAAGCTTGAGCCTGGTCAGTGCAGAAATTGACGGGCTGATGTTTTCAGAACCTGGCCAACCAAACTCTGCTTTGCAAAGAAATGGAAACCCAAACCCTGTCAGGTGGGCCTAGACCCCAGACTGGCGGATTCTGAGGGCTCCCCGCTAGAGATCACCGAGCCTAATGGAAAGCATATGATGGCCCTAAAGTCTGGCATCCTGGGTTCCAGTACCACCCCATGCAATTAGGCCCTCTATGGGGTTCTCCAGGCGAGCTATCGTTTAACCTCTCCGAGAGTTCCAGGCCCTTCATCTGCAAAAAGGAGATAACCCTTGCTAGGCCCACCTCCACCGGCTGTGGTGAGGAAATTCTCACTTTGGAGTGGTGAATGCGAATCACTGTAATTACCTTTCCCACCCACTAGTTAAAAGTGTAGGTACCAACTAGCAAAACACTATATATTGAGAGCTTGCCAGTTTTCTTCTATTTAAATAAAAACTAGAAGCCACGAAAGTCATACCATGCTAAACAGTAAAGGATTTATTTGTTATTGAAAATGCCATACAGCGCTCCAAATCACGAATAATAAGAGAAATACAAATGAAAACAACCCTGAGGTTTCACCTCAGATCCTGAAAATCAGCAAAAATGACAAAAAATGGCAACACAGACAGGGCTGTAGAAAGATAGGCACACTGACAATTTGTTGGTAGAGTTGTGAAATGGTACAACCTTTTGGAAAACAATTAGAATTAGGCAAATAATGTGATTGAAATGTCCATGTCTGGACTTATACCCCAAGGAAGCCATGGGTAAGAGAAGGTCCCCACAGCCTCCAAACTATTTATAGTAGCCCTTTTTGTGATAGCTGAAAGAGGGAAACAAAGCACATGCCCATCAACTGGGGAATGGCTAAACAAATAATGAAATATGATTGCTGTCCAGTAAGAAATGATGCATGTGATGAATGCAGAGAAACATGGAAAGATCTAGATGAACTGATGCAGAGTGAAGTAAGCAGAGCCAAGGAAACAATATGCACAGTGACTACAACAATATAAATGGAAAGAACAACACACCACAAAATCAAACATAAATGTAACAAAACTACAAAGATCAAACAAAGCTCAAAGAAAGAGCTATGAGAAAACACCTCCCACCTATCCCTTTGTAGAGGTGAAAGATCCACAGGTCTTACATGTTTTAGGACTTTTTCAATGTATCATCAATTGTGCTGACTTTTCTTCTCTAAAAAAAATACTGTTTGTCATAAAGGATGGCTCTCCAGGAGGGAAAGGAGAGGGATACATACAATGGTAATGTAAGAAAGAGAAAATATCAATAAAAACTTACTAAAGTAATGTCATACAATAAAATCTGTTGCTGTATGAAATCTGTAAAAACATTTTAAAAGTACCAATATTTGCAATAAATTATAGATCATCATTTTAATACACTATAAAAAAGTACTGAAGAATATTGTTTTAATAATAAAACACAATGACAGTCACAATTTATATGGTAAAGTTCAAACATACATATAATTGTGAATCCCCAAAATGTTAATACCTCAATATATCAGAGTTGGTAGTATTAAAGCAAATTAAAAATTAATGGATATATTTCTAAATGAATGGTCTGCCAAACAGAGATAATTCAGTGCTAATTGGAAAATGAGTTAACCAGTCACCTGACAATTTTATTTGCCTTTGTCCCACAAACTTCCTCAGAATAGATCAAAATTTGGTTCTTAATTCATAATATTTTAAGCTATAGTCAATTCTAAAATGTGTGAGACCTGCTTTAGGGTTACATACATAAAGTTTCAAGTTCTTCGGGGATTGGGTATAGAGGCAGAGGAGGAGACACACCTTAAAATGTAATATTCAATTTAGATAGCATAAGTTGAGAAGATCTTTACAAACAAGCAGAAGGGAAAATCATCTCTATATGTAATACTTTGGTTCACTAAACTTTCTCCTTTTTGGCATTGAATCTTGACTACAGGAAGATTCAAATGGTTGGAGGACCTGTCAAGAGAAAATACAGCTAAGGAAGGATACATTCTACTGTGCCAACTTCATTGTGAATTTAGGTCTCTTTCTGTTCATTTGCTATTTGAGGTCAGCTTTACTTTGATGTAAAGATATAAGAATTCACATCTTCTTCAAAAAGATGTGACTATTAATATGTGTCTTTCCTGATGGCTGCTAAAACAATACACATTTGAAGTATGTACTAGGCAATGTCAGATTAAAAAGCATCGTGCTCCCCAAATAAGCAATTTTAATCTCTTGTCTATTTCATATTACTGCCCTTCATGAACTCTACATACTAAGCAATGTTGTACTATAAATCTGTCCCCAAGGCTTAGCATGGCATCCCCAACTTCTAGAAAATACTCCCTCTTTATTTCTACTGTTCAGAGTCCTTTTCCATAAACACTTAGCATAGAGTGCTAGCTCCTTTGTGAAGTCTAGCATTTAAAAGTGTTCTCCAATCCTCAAATTTTTCTAAAGTATTTTGTTTGGATGTATCCTTTTCTAGCATCACAGATCTTGTGTTTTATGTATGTATCTATATATGGTCCACATAGAATACATTTACAGACACATACTTGCACATCTGTATACATACATACATATATATATATATATATATATATATATGCGCATCTATGTATTTATGTACGTTATGTTCCCTCTATTGGAAAGTAAGCTATTTGAAGTTAAGGACTGGATCATTTTTTATCTTTGTATCCCATGGGCTTAGCACATTACCATTAACACAGTAAATGTCTAATAAATGTTTAACTCAGTTGAACTGCAAAGAGAGAGAAATACTTTATGAAAGGCAAATGTAAAAATGTCTTTCCTTTGGAGATGCATAAGATTAAGATTAGGGCATTATTAACATGATTTCCTGAGCTTACGGTAATTTTCATAAAGATTTATATTGGGAAAAAAGCTATCAGTATAAACTATAGTTCAGGAATCACTTTATAGAAAATTGTTAAAACTCTGAATTTCATTGGGAGGAAACGGGAAACCCGTATTTTAATTTTACTACAGGTAAAGGTGCTTAGAACTTTAATTAGTTCTTTAGAAAAGGTATTACACAAATCTAAGTTAATATTATTCTATATTTAAAACAATTAGTATTAATTTAAAGTGAAAGTAGTTGTGAGCTGTTTATTTTCTTAAATACTTCAAATGACAGGGTTTTATTCTTTTTAAAACATTTGTTGTTTTTTAACTTTAATGTAGTATTACATCTTTCCTAAAGTGCTACTCAGAAGCTTCACTGTGTCATGAAGGTGACCCTAGAAGTTTTGGAAGACTCTGTCAACAAAGCACAGCTGTGGCAGGTCCTATTGGGCTGGAAAGGCTCTGAGCCTTGGGCCAGCAGGAGAATGTATGCCTAGTATCTTAGGACCAGGCATCGAAGTTTGAAGAAACCAAAAAGGTTAGCTAAACAGGGATGAAAGTTTTGGCCACAGCAACTCACTAAGACCATGGTAGTTGTTCAGTGGAGTGAATACTCTCACTGACAAAATCATGGCTCCTCAAAGTACACAGTAATATCTGACACAAATCACTGCTCTAAGTGATCTGATGATTTAGGAGAACAAAATTCTAACTTTACTATAAATGGTATGTGGACAAAGCATCTTATTGAAGAATTAACCCCACATTTATACCAAGAACTGACCATCAATAATAGATGCGCCACAGAAAGCCCATTTTCTATCCTATTCACCGCTTTGATGCTAGCTTCTGGAGATATTCTGACAGTTCATATTTCACACAACATACACCACGGCAGCACATTTACCTTTCGCCTCGATTCAGGCCGACTCCTCTTAGTTTCTTTACACAGCTTCATTGGCTGATTTCTGTAAGCCTGAAGAGACACAAAATAATTGGTTAGCTTTCAAAGTAGTAAGGCGTTACTTGATCAGACGTCTATTTCCCTATCATTGTCATACCAAATCTCATATCTAAAATGACTTCTTCAGAAACTTCAGAATTATGAAAAAGAAGAAAGTAGTTACCTTATTCTTCCCTGCAGGAAAACTTTTTTTTTATAGACACTTGCAATGTTTCTTCAATTTTTATTTCCATGATAAAAATACTGCTACAGCACAAAAGTATGACAATACAAATATTGCTAATATATAGTAATAATACTGAAAGCTATAGTTGTGAACATTTAATAATTCATCCGACAAACATCTATTATGCATCTACTATGTCTACAACACTCTGAGAAGCACTGGGATTCGAAGACAAAAATAAAAGCAGTTCTTGCACTCCAGGAGTTTATACTCTACTAGAAAACGTACCACATCCAACACATCCACAGAGAAGGAAATAGCACCAGTAATTAGAAGAAATCCAGAAGGGTTTCGAGGAGAAGGTGGCACCTGAATTGAGCCTTGACCAACATCAATGATTTCAAGGAGGAAAGGTAAGGAAGGACGTCCATTCTAGTCATGCAGGACAGTACGTTCAAAAGCACAGGACAGATGATGGGATACTAAGTTCTGGTACTGGCAAGCAGGCCAATTTGGCTGAAATAAAGTGTCTGAAGGAGAGTAAATATGAACTCAAGTTTAGGAAGGTAGGCTTGAGCCAGACTCTGAGAAGCGTTAAGTGCCAGTTGGAAAGGCTGGCTACTTTATCCTAGAGTCAATAGAAAGCCACTAATACTTTCTAAGCTTTGACGCAACCTGACTAAGACTGTACCTTATAAATATTATTTTAATAGTTACATAAAAGATGGATCAAAGGGGAAGAGGACTAAAAACTAAACATCAATTAGAAGGCTGCAGTAATTCACTCCAAAAAAAGGGAAGAGCCTAACATAAGGCCTCAGTGTCAGTGGAGAGAAGTAATTCATGAAATGATGTGAAGGTAGAATTAACAAGGCTTGATCACAGATTAGATACGGAAGATGAACAAGGAAGAGTGAAGGGTGTCTCTAAGATTATGAAGATGGATGACTGGATGAGGAACAGATTTAGGGAGAAAAATAACTAAGACCACTGTAGAACTATTGAGTCTGAGAAGCTAATGGGACATCTAGGTAGAAATATCCTCCTATATATACCTGGTAATGTGGAACCGGGGTTCATGAAAGAAGTTGGGGCTGGTTACATAGATTTTTTAGTCATTTATGTAGAGTTGATAACACTGCTCAACACATATTTTGTCATATAAAAATTCTTGATATTTTATTTGTATATTTTCATGCTGAATTCAAAAGTGCAGATAGAACTTCTTAAACACCCATCATTATTGTGATTTTTGATCTAGATTATTTGCAATGAGTATCTGGCATACGTGTAGACCCCATCAGCTTGCTGAAACAATCTCTCTACCAGGAGGACTCTGGTGCTTCTAGAAGAATCAGGATGACTTGAAAAGGAAGTACCCAAAAAAATGAAACATGTAAAACAGGGGTGTGTTGGCAAATGTTTAACAACTGGCTCTCCAAAAATATGTGCATGATACACTGTTAAAATTAATATGCATTATTAACATGGTCTCCATCACTTTCATATGTCTAGACAACCAATAAAATAATAAAACCCTGTGGTTGCCCATTTCTGAGGTGCAAATATTCACAGTGAAAATTTAACAATCAGCTTTCCCAATCTGGCATAAGCTGGCTTTAGAACAGCCTTGCATTTGTGTAGACATACTATAATTGGCTGGGAAGAACCTTTTTCAACTAGTTACATAGCCAAGACAGTTGGTATCTTCCAGAAGGCCTGTGTCAGTTCTGGTACCCTCTTTTTGCTTCATTTGTGTCTAAGGGAGCTCACAATGAGAGGCCATGCTATAAAAGCAAACGAGCTTTAAGGCCTTCACCTCTGAGGCCATAGATCCCCCAGAAATGAGCCTCTGTCCTTGGCTGTCTGGTTTATTCTTTTCCCTCCTAGGGGTAGAGAGTAAAGTTTCCAATGGAGTCAGAAGCATGAGCCACATTAGCCTGAGAGTCAGAATGGAGGCAAGATGTTGCTGCCAGCCTCACATCAACGCCCCAAAGAGCAAGGAGGGATCTTCTAGAGTAACTTTTGGAACTCCCCGCAGCGATGCCACATCCAGGACAGACGAATGCTATGTAGTAACTGAGCTAAGTTATCATCCTATCATCTTCATCCTTCCCTTCCCACCTCCCCACCCCCCAGACTGAAGTGATATAGGAACTATGCCCCTGAGGTACTGGGGAAAATATTTATATATCTGTTGATTTTAAATTGTTAAATGGAACTGGGAACAGCCAGTAGGGGCTCAAGTCAATCACATTTGAGAGGAGAAATATCCTACTCCTCAAGGGTCCCCTAGAACCGTGTAGCAAGGGGAGCCAGAGCATCTTTGCTCCACCTGCAGTACAAGTAATAGAGTGTGATTTGGTTGAGGATGCAGGAGAGGAGGCTGCAGTGAGAAGTCACTAGGTATGCAGGCTGGGACCTGTTACTGTCATATAGAGAAACTTTGGAACATGAAGCACATCGCATTTTTGTTCAATTGTGCGTCAGGTACCATTACATAAACAGCATTACTGCTTCTAATATTGTTCGCTCAATTTCTTGTCCTTTGTAAATAGTGGTGTGTATTATTTAAATTCTCATTATGCCTCATGTATAGATCATCTAAATAATTTTTGTTATGTATGTGGCAAGCCAGCCTTTAAATATGAAGCAAAACTTTACTCTTCTGGTTGTAAAATAGGTGATCAGGATGAGACTCAGACCCTTCACTTGTGCCACATCCTTTTTGTTAGACTACTGACTGACTGCAAGCAGGGCTCTTATTACACTGTTTACAATTCCCAGAATTTCTATTTTTGTTGGAGAAATATACTTCACAACTAAACATGCTGTACAATATCTAAATCTACCTTAAGCCATAAAAACTGTTTTATACAGTGAAGAACTATTTGGAACAAAAACACCAGAAACCTAGAATCTGGATGAAAAACATGAACCTGATGATTCACACTGTAAGGATGAGACTCAGACAATGTTAGATAAGAAAACCAGGAAGGCAATCCCCCATTGTAAGTAATCTTTTAATCTTAAGATCCTCATTTAATATCTCAAGCATACCTAAACAATCTTATCATAACATTCCCAAAGCAATCTTAGAAGGATGAAATCTTCTGCAAGAAGGCAACAAAATTTGTCCAAAACATGACATTTTTCTTGAGAAGTGATGAATATTGGGGCAGCTAGGTGGCACAGGGGACAGAGTACTGGCCCAGAAGTCAGGAGGACCTGAGTTCAAATCTGGCCTCAGACACGTAACACTTACTAGCTGTGTGACCTTGGGCAAGTCACTTAACCCCATTGCCTAACACCCCCCCAAAAAAAAAAGACATGACAAATATTTTTGGCATGTCTGTAGGATATGAAAGTGATTGCTCTTTAATTAGGATTATAACATGAATATACCAAATGTTGCTACTTTACTGGGTGTAATGGAGAACGAATGGACCTATAGGGGCCATTCCATGAAACACTGAGCTGTCCTTCCTGGTTCTTTCTGATTGCACAGGAGATCTAAGGCTGGCTTCTGGCTCAGTAGTAACCCATCACTTAAAGGAGTTGGTGTTCTAGCATGATGTCATAAATCCTGAATAATTCCTTAGTCATTTCTCTTAGTCATTAGTGGGATACTGCAGTAGTTACAAGAGTCTACAGAGTCCGTCTGTCATGCCCTTGGCTTCGGTTCTCCAGGTTCATCAAGTGACTCCAGTTAAAAGTATCATGGTATTAGGACATGGCAGCTCTTGTAGGAGGCCACAGCTGGATGAGATTTGCACAGGGGTTCCTGGATGTCTTTGCCATCTTCCTGTTTGACCTTTCCTGATCTTGGGCAAATGAATATCCAGAGGTAAATATGTTCAGGATTGGAAGTGGCCATGTAAGTTCAAATGGTCTAGAGGTCCAATGAAAGGTCAGAGCTAAACTGAGGCAAGGTGTGAGAAGCCCTCAACAACTATTCCAGTGTTCTTAACGAGAACAGCCACTGAAAAGAAGAGGGCCTGCTTAGGTCTGCCCATTTTACCAGCGATTTCAGTGCTAAGCCAAGGTGTAACTTAAAATGCCTAATTAGCAGTACTACAAAACACCTGTTTTGATTCAGTTAAAAAAATCAGCCTTTCAGCAGATTATAACAGTAGTTATAAATTACTAGATCCTACTTAATTCATGAAATAACTCAGTTAATGTGTGCCTGTGAGTGTTCTGTATTTAGCATTCCTTTTGGGTAACAGGATAATTTACCTGTCTCATACCTAATTCATACTATATTCTTTTACTCCCCAGTTTGGGAAGTTTGAAGCATTTTTTTCCTCCAGTTGGGGACTTAGCAAGCCAATGCGGGTGAGAAAGGGAACCCTAATCCCTGTAATTAGAGGCCAAGCCCCATCTAAGACTGAACTTTGAGTTCAATGCACGCATGGGTTCAGAACCAGGGAGTGGCACAGTACTGTAGCACCTTTGGAACCAGCCAATCAGTCCCTCAAGACTAGATGTGAATGGGACGGCAGAGACAGAAAACAAAACAAAACAAAACAAAAGATCAAAAAAACCACTACATTAAAAAACTCCAAACTCAAAGGAAATAATTCATTGTAAGAAATAAAAATTAGATAAACCAACCATTGGTTAGTCCTGGAAAATTTTTCTTATTACTGTCAACATTAAACTTAGCTTATTGAAAAAATTTTGTCAAGGTGATAGACCAAATTAATAAAGGTTTTCTTTATCTGAAAAATAAAATTTTATGAATTGGCAAGGTTAAAACTAAAATGGGGACATTTCTGGATTCTCAAATAAGGGAAGGGATAAAAGATGAGTACTTTTGCAGGATATAAAATAAACCCACATAAATCACTGGCATTTCTATATATTACCAACAAAGTCCAGCAGCAAGAGAGAAAAAGGGAAATTCCATTTAAAATAACCATACACAATATAAAATACTTGAGAGTCTGCCTTCCAAGACAAACCCAGGAACTATATGAACACAATTATAAAACACTTTTCATACAAATAAAGTCAGATCTAAAACAATTAGAAAAATATCAATTGCTTATGGGTAGGCTGAGCCAATTATAATAAAAATGATAATTCTACCTAAGTTAATTTACTCAGTGCCATGCCAAATAAACTACCAAAAATTTATAGACCTAGAAAAAAAATAATAAAATTCATCTGGAAGAACAAAAGGTCAAGAATATCAAGGGAACTAATGAAAAAAATGTAGAGGAAGGTGGCCTAGCCATACAAGATTTCGAACTGTATTATAAATCGATAATCATCAAAACAATCTGGTGCTAGCTAAGAAATAGAGTGGTAGATCAGTGGAATATATTGAGTACACAATACACAGTAATAAATTACCACAGTAATCTAGTGTCTGATAAACCCAAAGACCCAAGCTTTTGGGACAAGAACTCATTACTTGACAAAAGCTGCTGGGAAAACTGGAAAGCAGTATGGCAGAAACTAGGTATAGACCAGCATCTTACACTGTATACCAAGATAAGGTTGTTAACCAAAAACAATATCACAAGTCCATGAGACATGCATTGGAAGTGGATTTATTATAAGAGAAAGGCATATGCATGTGGCAACTCCTTATACCAAGCAGCCTAGTGGTGCAGGGAAAGCCTTGGGCTTTTAAGTTATAGGGAAAAGGACTAATCCCTTCTTTTCCCTTGGGAACTGCTAGACCATGAAGATAGGATGATCTGCTTATCTACAAAGGTCCCAGAAACACAAGACAGTTTCTCCTTCTGATGAAAACTGACTGGCTCCTGTCTTGACACACAGGGAGTCCAGCTTGGGGTACAAACAACAAATTATGTCAGCTTGGGAGGTTTCATCCTTGACAAGTTCAGAGCCTCTTGCATACTCTGGGTCTAGTGCGTCTGGAAAATATGGCAACTCAGGAAGACAAGTTCAGGGGGCCCCTTAACACTGTCAAAATGGATACCTGATTCAGACACAAGAGGTAATACCATAAGCAAATCAGGGCAGCATGGAATAGTTCACCTGTCAGATCTATGGATAAGGGAAGAATTTATGGCCAAAACAAGAGATAGAGAGTATTACAAGATGTAAAATGGATAATTTTGATTATATTACATTAAAAAGGTTTTACACAAACAAAACCAATGCAACCAAGATTAGAAGGAAAGCAGAATGCTGCGGGAAAATGTTTACAGCATGTGTTTCTGATAAAGGCCTCATTTCTCAAATACATAGAGAGCTGAGTCAAATTTTTAAGAATATTAAGTCATTCCCCAATTGATAAACAGTCGCTGTGACAGTGACTGTGAATAATGGGAAAAGATCAAATACAAGAGATGTTATTGAGGTCTTAATAAAGAAACTGGGCAACTGACTGAATTTATGACATGATGGAAAGTGAAGAATTGTGTATCTGGGTGACTAGAAGTATGGGCTATCACAGGAAGTAACAGAAATTCAGAAGAGGGGTAGGTTTTGAGGGAAAGATGTTCAGTTGTGTCATCAAAGTTGAGACATCCAAAGGATATTCAGTGTGAAATGTCCAGTAGTTAATCAATGATATCTCTTGTATTTGATCCCTTCCCATTACTCACAGTCTCCTCTGACTTCCCAGCCTTTTGCAACCCTATTGCTCAACTGCTTTCTCCCAAGCTACCTCTTCATTGCCAAATCTGATAGCCTTTTTTCAATCTCACTCCTTTCTGACCTCTCTGCTGCAGTTAACACTGTTGACCACCTTCTCCTGGGCACTCTCTCTTTCTGGGTTTTCATGACTATAAATTCTCCTGGTTTTTTTCTCACCTGATTGCTTGAACTAATAAGACATTACTATATAAAAGTTGAATGTATTTTTGTTGGGTTTTTTTTTTTAGTACAAAAAAGAAAGGACTCATGCTCAAGCTAATAGTAAAAAAAAACAAAACTCTCCCACTTCCCACAGAGACCTATACATTTTTTTTTCACTTTATACTTGTACCACATGTGGCTTAGAATGCTAGAGTTCACATTCATCTGGATCTGGATCCTTATGGAATCTCTAGGATTTGCAGTACCAGGAAAAGGTTTGCTCTTTCAGGTCATGGCCCTGTACTTACTGCTACTTGGTTCTGGTCTCTTTTCTAGTCCTCACTTCAGTTTCCTACCACATTGATATTTCTCCCCATTACAACACCCCCATTGCTCCACTTCTGGTTCAGCATCTCCATCTGGCACCTGTTCCTTTCCTCTAGGGTTGTGTGAGTGCACTGGCTTTCAGTGCTGGTCTATTTCCAGGTATTCGTTTAGCTCAGTATGTCCATCCGGTGCCAATTCCTGCCATGTCTTTCCTTCTAGGGCCCTGTGAACGCAGCATTCTTCAGCGAAGGCCTCTTCTCAGGTTCACATGTGTCTTAGCGTCTCTGTCTTATCTGGCCTGCCCCCCCCCTCAAGTCTGCATGGTGTGCTCACTCTGTGTCTTTCCTTTATGTCCATGTGGTAGGTAGTTCCTCATACAGAATCAGCTGCCTTATTTCTTAAGGTGTTCTAGGAGTCTTCCTTGAAGGAAGGGGAAGAAACGTACTTAATTCCTCTTGGTACATACCTGCTATATGTTCAAAGAGCTAGAAATAGACTTCTAAGCCACTGATTCATGTCATTTTTATGTTTCACATCTCCATTCACCATTTATTAAAAGGATCCATACTCCCAATAAGTGTACTCTTCAAAGAAGATTTGCCCAAACTAATAAAAATTCAAATGGTTTTATCATGTCATTTTATAAACATCAGCTTTTTCTCCCTACATTCTAACATTCAATCTAAGTGGAGGGTTTTTGGTATTAGTGATTCTACTTTTCCACGCTTCTTTTTTTCTCCTACTTGTGATTAGGAACTTGCTCTGTGTGAACTCTCACCTCATTGGGATTGGAAAACAAGACACATGCTGTACACTACATACTGAGCCACAATCTGGAGGACTCTATTTTATAATATTTTCCTTTACAACCCTATAACTCTTACGTGAACTTTGAGAATAAATGATTAATGTGAAAAATTAAAATTATTTATTATTTAATTTTATATTTGATGCTTAGGGCATGTAGGTTAAATAGCATACACCCCCAGAATTTGGGGAAATGGTCTGAAATTGAAACAAAAATGAATATAAGATGGATAAGATTAGCCATTTGCAGAAGTTATCCATCCTAAGAGACACATAAAAATGTGATGCTAATGAGATTAGGGTGTCACCCAAATTTCATCAAGGAAACATTAATAAAAAATGTAACCAATATAAAATAACACATCATCTAATTATAGGGTAGCTTAAAGTATGCAGGTTTGTTATTAACTATACTTGCATGTGACAGGCAGGAATTCACAACAAAGAAATTGAATTGCAGGTAAAGAAGGCATTAGACTCACATCTAACACCCCTCTTCCCCCAGTCTTTTGTTGTTGTTATTGCCTTTCCTCTACCCCATTCATTCACTCAGAGACCCAGGGAAAATCTTGTGCCTCAGACCCACATGACTTCTGTGGAGTTTCCTTGAAAGAACCCTCTAAAATGAGTTCATAAGGGGTTAAATGGACTAAGAAAAATATTTTAACCCTAAATCAGAGAAAGGGCTGGGCCAGACAGCTATCCTGTCAGGAGGAAATTAAAAAAAAAAAGACTAGATGCTTATGCTTCTAACCAGCTGGCCGGTTGGCTTGTGTTCCAAAAAAGCATTGGCCCTCAAAGCAGAGAGAGCACTTTCTCCCTACAATATATAAGTTCTTAGCCTTTGGTAACATTGGATATGTAGGATGAGTGAGAGTGAAGAAGCTGTAACGACCTTGAAGTTGCAACCACCGGGCAGACATTAGTGCCCTTGACAATAACAGGGAAGCTCAGGACAGGGGAAGATTTGCTTGAACCAGCACGACCACCCCTTGGTAAACTGGTAACGCTGGGTTTCTAAAACAACAAAGCTAAATATCATATTGATTTGTGTTGACTTCTCTAAGATAAAGACATCCCATAAATCTCAGTTGAGCAATCATCCAATTGGCCACACTCTCTCACACTCTTAACTGCAACACAATTCACTATGATTGGAAATTATAAAATAAAACAAACCAGTTGTACTATATATACTTTTCATTTTGAATGAAGTACTTACCATGTTATTCTGAAAAACCTTTCCACTTCTTGTTCTGCTTTCTGATACATCAAGTTCTGATGTCTTATTGATCAACTGCTCAACCTAAAATGGAGAGTATATATCACCACAGTACAAAACCATCTAACAATGTAACACGTGAAAAGTAACTTAAGGAATATTTCGCTCTAACTTTGAGAAAATCAGATACTAACATCAGTGTTACTAAAGGAGTACTGGTATAAGTGAAAGAGCACTGGGCTGGAGCCTGGGAAACCTGGGTTCTAGTGCCAGTTTTGACACTGTGTGACCTTAGACATGTCACATTAATTTCATAGGTCATAGCTTCCTCACTTAGAAAACAAGGCGGTTGGTCTATAATAATAATAATAATGATGATGATGATGATAACCAGCATATGTACAGCACTTTAAGGCTTGCTAAGCAATTTACCAACATTATCCCATTTTATACTCACAACTACCCTAGAAGGTAGGTTCTTTTATTATCCTTTTACAGATGAAGAAATTGAGACAGATGGAGCTTAAGTGACTTGTCCAGGGTCACACAACTAATTAAGTATCTGAGGCTGCATTTGAATTCAGGTCTTCCTGCCTCCAGGTCATATGACCCTTCCTCCCACAGCATTCTGTGAGCCATATGTAAAATAATAAGAGTTATGATTATATACCTATAAAATCCTTTCTGGCCACAAAAATCTATGACTATATAGGAATGGCATGTAAGATTATCATTAAATGAACCTGCAGCTACTAATGACTTTCTGCCAACAGTTGCCAGATTTTATTAAAGTAACAGGAGCTCAAATTGGTGAATATTCTTTTTGAAGAACTGAAAATAAGCAAATAAAACATAAGAAATAGCTAGCCAAAGCTAGCTATGTGGTACAGTGGTTAGAACACTGCCCCTAGAGTCAGGAGGACCTGAGTTCAGATTTGACCTCAGACAATTACTAGCTGTATGAACCTCAGCAAATCACTTAACCCTGACTACCTCAAAAAAAAAAAAGAAAAAAAAAAAGAAATACACGAAGCCAAAACAAATAAATGAAATTGTTCATTCTTGGGAAATACGATCTTTTTGTTTTTTAAATTAAATTAATTAAAAATTAACCCACATCTGCCCTCTTTTGCCCTCCTACCTTCCTCCCTATACCCACTAAAAAAGAAAGAAAAACAAAGCCCTTGTAACAAATATATATGGTCAAGTGAAACACATTACCACGTGGCCATGTCCAAAACAGTATGTTTCCCTCTGCACCGAGAACATCCCCATTCTGTCAGGAGATGGTTAGTCTGTTTCATTATGAGTCCTTTGGGAATCGTGGTCAGTCATTACGTTGATCAGAGCTCTTAAATCTTCCAAAGTTGTATCTTTACAATATTGTTGTTATTGTATAAATCATTCTCCTAGTTTTGCTCACTTCACTCTGTATCAATTCATTTAAGTTTTCCTAGGTTTCACTGAAACCGCTGCTTTCATCATTTCTTAAAGCAGAATATGTATTTTATTACATTCATATAATTTGTTCAGCCATTTTCCAATTAATGGGTACTCCTTTAGTTTACAGTTTTTTTCTACCTCAAAAAGAGTTGCTATAAATATTCTTGAATATATGAGTCCTTTTCCTCTTTCGCTAATCTCTTTTGGGTGTAGGCCTAATAGTTGTATTGCCATGTTGAAGGATATGCACAGTTTATTAACTTTCTGGGTTTAGTTCCAAATTGCTTTACAGAATGGACCAATTCACAGCTCTACCAATAGTACCTGTTTTTAATGTACCTGTTTTCCCAAACTCCTCCAACATTTATCATTTGCCTTTTTTGTCAACTTTGCCGATCTATGGGATATGAGGTAGAACCTCAGAGTTGGGTTAATTTGCATTTCCCTAATTATTAGTAACTTGGAGCATTTTTTCAAGTGACTATTGATAGTTTATATTTCTTCCATGAAAACTGAAAGGCAATCCTTTTAAAGTGAAATTAAAAAGTGTTTTTATACCTGAGAACGAGAGATGGAAGGATTTGGGCTTTCTTCAGACCTCATAATTTCATCTTCCTCACAAGCTAAACTTAATTCTGTAGAAACAATAAGATTAAAATGACATAAAATAGAAATTAAGGTGAATTAATCTATATTTTCATAAACCTACCTCCAACTTCTGAAGACTCATGGTTTTTTTCCTGTTCTCTCATTTTATCACTAATGACAAAATCTTCCTATATAGAAAGCACATAAACAAGAATGAAATGCACATATTACTAAGAGGCACAAAAACAGCTAGAGAGAAGTATTTACTACCATGAAAAATTAATTTTTTAAATTTAAACTTTATTTTTATTCTGAACCTAACACCAAATAAAATCAGCATTTCCATATGAATTATAGTAGCAGAGAAGATTACATATATAATTGGAATCTCATTATATAGAGCTTACTTTTCTTTGACTGTATATAATAAATTTAACACGTAATCTTCAAAGTGGTACCGCTTATCTGTGATTCCTTCCGTTTTCTTTTGGGGGAAGAGTAGACCCTGTCGCTAGCTCTACCTTCCCTTCCTATCTCCTTACCCAAAATTTGGAAAACACAAAATCCTTGTAACAAATATGTCCTCGTAAAGCAAAACGCACTCCCATCCTGGCTGTGCTGTCCTACATAGAATGCATGTCTCACTCTGCATGTTGAGGCCATCACCGCTTTGTCTGGAGGCATGTGGCACATTTCACCATCCTTCCTCTGGACTTGTGCTTGATCACTTTATCGTTCCGCAGCGTCCTTAGATCTTTCAGAATCATTTGTCTATATGACGTTGTTACTATATAAATTGTTCTCCTAGATCTTCTCTCTTCATTGGGTATTAGTTTATGCAAATCTTCCCAGATTTCTCTGAAATCGTACCTTCTATCTTTTCTCATGATATTCATCTATTACAATTTTAAACAAATTAATTTCGTGTAAAGGTTAAACATAATATGACACTACACCTGCTGCATCCTTATAGAAATATAATTCTTCAGGGGCAGCTAGGTGGCACAGTAGATAGAACACCAGCCCTGAAAGTCAGGAGGACCTGAGTTCAAATCCAGCCTCAGACCAAACATTTGACACTTACTAGCTGTGTGACCCTGGGCAAGTCACTTAACCCCAATTGCCAAAAAAAAAAAAAAGAAAGAAAAGAAAAGAAAAAGGAGAAAAGAAGAAATGTAATTCTTCCAAGTGATAAGAGACTTTTTCATGGAAGTATGATGCTTCTAAAAAACTATACCAGAGATCTAGTTTAATATCTTTAGCTGTCTACTGGTTATTCACATCTCTATTTAGAAAAATCATTACTACCTCAAACTCAATATGTCCAAAAATTGAATTTATTATCTTCTTACCAAAACCTGTTCTATTTCTGTTGATGACACTATCATCATCTCTGACTCTTTTCTCTCCTTCACTTTCCACATCCAAACCCTGTCAATTTCATCTACTATTTTCATGTTTATTCGGTTTTTTAGCTAGGCAATGGGGTTAAGTGACTTGCCCAGAGTCACACAGCTAGTAAGTGTTATGTGTCTGAGGCCGGATTTGATCTCAGGTCCTCCTGAATCCAGGGCCGGTGCTCTATTCACTGCGCCACTTAGCTGCCCCTATTTTCACGTTTAGAAAGAAGGAGTGCAGTGTAGTAGACAGCTCAATGGACCTGGAAGTCAGAAAGCCCTGAGTTCTAATCATACCTTTAACAATAATTGTGTGAACCTAGAGAAGCACTTAATAACTACAAGTTTCAGATTCCTCATCTGTAAAAAGGGAATAAGAATGTTTATACCTACCACACAGGCTTATTACTCCAATATTCAAGCAGATCTGTGGTCTCATTAATGTGACTATTCCCTCTAGTGACGCAGATTACACCCTGCCAGTCCTGTTTGACTCTCACCCATGGTCTCCCATATGTTTGCAACAGGGGACCATGGAGCCTTTCCTTGAGATTTCTGGTTACCACACAGATAACAACACAGCACACAGGCTTCTGGTTGGTATCCTGACTTTTATTTTGTGACCAGCCCATATTTCTTCCAGTCAAATGATTTCTTTAAAGAGGTCCTCCCACAGCTCACTAATGCTCACCATACAATGTCCATGGGCCCTTTCTGGGATCTCTAACCTCAATCTTTCAGAAATAGTGGTTTATAATGACTTGCAGTCATATAACAGCAACATTAAATAAAATACGGGTTTTAAACAGATAAGCCTTAATTTCAAGAAGAAATTAAGACTATCAAAAGAACTTTTCATTGTTTCAAATGCAATTCAATCCAATCTTCTTCTGTTTAATTCTGTGCTCAGGTCATTGTACGTTTTCAGTGTCTGTCCAAGATAAAAATGCTGACTGATGAGCTCGATAGGTTGTCCACCCAAGTGTATGTTATAATACAAATGACTGACATTTTCATCCATTTGGCTTTTCCTATGTGGATGGTAAACTTTTGAGTTACAAATCTTATTTAGGAAGCTTTGAAGTGTTCTGGATTTCATGCAATCATCACAATGTCATCTGTAACATGTGAAACTCCAGGTAGAGAATACTATATAAATATTGTTTATTGACTATAAAGAGGCCCCTCAGTGGTACAGTGGATACAGCACTGGGTCTGGAATCAGGAAGGCGTAAGTTTAAATTCAACCTGAGATATCTACAAGCTGTGTGAGTTTAGACAAGTAACTTAATCTCTGTCAGCTTCATGTTCCTTGTCTATAAAATGGTGATAGCACCTACTTCCCAGGGTTGTTGTGAGGATAAAATAAGATGACATTTGTTAAAGTGCTTTGCAAACCTTAAAGCCATATATAAATGCTAGCTATTTTATTTTTCCTTTTCCTGACTGCAGGTCCAGTGCTCTATTCATTGTACCCCCTAGTTGCCTTTTTTTATAGTCAACAAACAGTAAGCACAATGAGACCTTGTATTCTACTGTAGAATACAGCAAGTGAAAACCTGCCTGTCCTCTTATAAATACCTTAATGCCCTTAATCAAAAATATCCTCAATGTAGAAATTTTTTATATAGATGAAAAACTACATATATGGCTTTGTAGTTATTGATAATCTCTCCATCACATTTTTGAGGACAGCCCAAGATTTTTCCTTGCTTGGTAATCTTCCCTCCTTCAGATATTTTAAGAATAGATTCCTTATTGCCTTCAGACTGTGTTACCTTTAGCACAGTTCTCTACTGTCTATTTATTTGGTTTGGTCCAGTTACTTTTTAACTACCTTTTTTAAAATGCCATTTCCACTTTCTCTATAGGTAGGTACATTATATGTATTACAATATTAGATGACAAAATGTTCCAAGAAATGTTTCCTCCAGCTTTTGGCTGCAGGATAAAACCAACTCCACCCATTTCTTTATTTGCCTCATCAAACAGAAGCTGTGAGCCATTCTCTCCTTTAATTAATTGTAATTTCCTTTTGTTTTATGGTTTCATTTATAACAAAAATTTCAAGATTGATACATTTCCTCCAGTAGTTTGTTCATTGGAAATTGAGATTAGTGTTTATAGATAATCTAAAAATGTGATTCTTAGCATTCTCTGCCCCCTTTTTCTGCTACTCTCCCATTGTTATTACAAAAACAGAAGAGGATAACACAAAATTGAGGGCTATTTTGTATTATTCTTTGTTTAATGGATTATCATGGCCAAATAATTAATCACTAAATGGCCAGCCTACTAGTGATAATCCACTTTATACTTAGGTAGTTTGTCCTAAGATAATATACATAAAGTTTATTACAAATTTTATAATTCTATATAAAACTCAGTGATTATTACCCATCTCAACCACACTCTACTCTCCAATCAAATTAGACTGCTTGAAGCCCTTGACTCTCATTTGCCTATCCTTGTTCATTAAGAGATAGCTAGGCAGTGGAGCCAATAGAGTACTGGCTCTGGAATTAGGAAGACCTGAATTAAATCCTGCTGCAGACATGTACAACCTGATTGCTTACCATCTCAGGGAGGAGAGAGGGAAGGATAGAATTTATAACTCAAAACTTTAAATAAAAATGTTTAAAAAATTAAAAAAGAAATCCTGCCTCAAAAATGAAGGCATGAAGAACTATGCCAGTTTGGACATCTCTTTTTCCAATTTAGAAATGGCTTGGTTACATAATCAGAAATACTGTTTCTGGCAAACTTCAGCCTAAATCACAGAGTACGATATTTATATTAACATTTTTTCAACATCATCTATTCTTATTTTATTTATTTATTTTTATATTTTTTAGGCAATTGGGGTTAAGTGACTTGCCCAGGGTCACACAGCTAGTAAGTCTCAAATGTTTGGTCTGAGGCTGCATTTGAACTCAGGTCTTCCTGACTTCAGGGCCGGTGCTCTATCCACTATGCAACCTGGCTGCCCCAACATCATCTATTCTTGTAGAGAAGACTGGGAGATATGGATTAGATAATAATATAATCAGATAGATTTAGAACTAGTTGGATGACCTGACTCAAAGAGTAGTCATTAATGGTTCAACAACATGGCAGAAGGTTTCCAGGGGAATTCTCCATGGATCTACGCTATTTAATGCTTCTATCAAGGACTTGGATAAAGGCATAAAAGTCATGTTCACTTAATTTGCAAAAAACACAAAGCTAGGGATAGCTAAACAGTACATGACAAGAGTCTGGATCCAAAGGGATCTAGTAGGCTAAAATTTTAAGTGAATCTCACAAGATAACATTCAGTAGGTATCAGAATAAAGTCTTATACTTAGGTCCAAAAAATTCAACTTCACAAAGATAAGAGGGAGAAGATATGGATAGAAAGCAGTTGTTCTGAAAAAGATCTGGACGTTTTCGTGGCCAGCCAGCTCACAGTGGTTCAGTGTGCTTCCAGCCCAGTCCTTACAGCCATCAGCTGGGTACACGACTCCTGTGAAAAATATGCCAGTCATTCTCACTAACTGTCACCCAACTGCCATACATTGAGACAGGCAAGACAGCCAGCCTGGTGAAGCAGCAAAGTACTCTGAGAAACAAAAAGGAAGTGGCATGTGCCAAGCAAGTCAAACCACTACTACCTCTTGACCAACATTTTCCCTCGAACCTCAATAAAGAAAGTCCAAATAAAGATCCTGCTCCATCTTGAATCCAAAAGCTTCAGGAAAAACAGTGCTTTTAGGCCAGTGTCCTCAGGTATCAACCTGGGAAGCAACCCCCATGGAGATGCAGCCTGGCAACTGCTCCTGTAGAGGCTATGGACATAGCTGGTGAAGACACAGAAAGGAAAGTTCTTGCCACCAAAGCCCTTAGCATTATCAAATGGTTTGACATCAGAAAATATCATTTTATCAGTGGAAATGCTATTTTTAAAAAAGAGACAGTATCATCCTCTTTTCCACTGTACCCTAAGGATCATGGGACCTTTCCATATGAGTTCCCTATAAGTTGTCTTTCCCATTAGAATTTGAGCTCCTTGAAAGAAGGGATTGTCTTACGTTTCTATCTACATCCCCAGGGCTTACCACAGTACATAGTAAGCATTTAATAAATGCTTCATTCATTCATGAAACAGTATTATGTAGCAGCCAAAAAGCTAATGTAGTCTTGGGTTGTATTAAGGGGAGCACAGCTTCCAGGAATAGAAAGAAGATAGCCCTAGTATAATCTGCCCACTATAATTTAGGCACCTCTGCTGCAGTATCATGTTCAGTTCTGGAAATCACCATTTGAGACAGTCAATGATAAGCTGGAGATTGTTCAGAGGAAGGTAACCAAGATGGCAAAGAGCCTTGACTCCACATGATATTGTACATATCTAGCATTTATATAATGCTTTAAAGTTTGCAAAGCACTATTTACAGGCAGGCAGAGGTTAAATGACTTGCTCAGGGTTACATAGCTGCTAAGTGTGCAAAACTGGATCTGAACTCAGGTCTTCCTGATTCCAAGTCTAGCACTATCCACTTTACCATCTTGCTGCTTACTCATTCATTTATTCACTCATTTCACAGTAGCCAAAGTCTATTATTTTCTATCCTTTGGTCTCATCGTGACTCTTCCTACCTCATCTTTGCTCATTCGATCCCCTATGCCTAATGGACTCTTTATACTCCTCCCAACTCCATATTTTGAAGTTTCTGTTCCTCCAAGGCCCAACTCAGGTTCCACCTACTCCATGAACTCTTACTTCTCTTCCCCAGATGAAAATGATCTCTTCTGCCTCAAATCATTCAGAGCACTTTGCCTGGACTACTCTTTAGCATTCATCACATTCTTCCTCGTACAAGTTACTTGTGTCTATGTATTTCCCTACTCAAGATCCTAAGATCTTTAAGATCGTCATCTATGTTAGTTCTCTTTTTTCTATCTCCAGTACCTATGATTAATTTATTGCACATTGTAGTAAATAAAGTGTCATGGACAAACAGACATCATGAGGTAAAAGACACTGACTCTACATCAGAATATAAATCAAATAAATATTTGTTGAAATGAATATCAGCATCACTAGGAGCACTGAACCAGATACTGCTACTTAGCAAATCACTTCTTACAGATCCTATATTTTTCCTTAGTCAGAAAGCTGCAAGTGACAGAATAGTATGAACAATAACTTGTTTGCCCCAATGATATCTAAAATAATATCTGAGGGACATTTTAAGGTTATATGCAATGAACATATATGTCAAACAACTTGGAGTATTTCAAGAAAATATTCTACATAGCACTATATATCATTAATAAAGCAAGGTTATTAGGGAAAATTTCTTTTCTTCCCAATCTGAATTACCTTTCTCTCAAATGTGTTTATAATAATAGCTAGCATTTATGTAATAATATATTTAGTGTATTTAAACTATTTAATATTTAAGGTTTTCCAAGTCTTTTTACGAACTAGTGTTGTAAAACTCATTTTGTCCTCACAACAGCCCTGGGAAAAAGGTGCTTTTGTTATCTCCATTTTACAGATGAGGAAACTGAGGCAGACAGCAATGAAGTTACTTGCTCAAAGTCACATAGCTAGTAAGTATCTGAGGCTGGATTTGAATTCTCGTCTTCCTGACTCAGGTCCTGCACTATGTCCAATGCGCTACCTAGATTGTACTAAATTAAATTCACAGAATATAAGGTCAACACAGATCCTTCCCTGACCCTGACCACTAGAACTAAGAGTAAAACATGGTGCTATCACCCATCACAGGCCTACACAAATCTTACATTCATAAACTGTTCTTGTGCTTCTAGATCTTCTTTATCCATCAGGATTTTCTGTAGTGGTATTTTTAACTGTTTCTCTGTTAGTACAGTTTTATCAATGTTCTCCATTCGTTCTTTCTCAGTTGTCACTTTCACTTTCAGGGTATGAAAAGGTGTTGGAACTTCACCCACGTTTAGGTACGTGGGTTCCCCATCAAATATTACTCCTTCACAATCACCTTCCTTGAAACCCGGAGGTTGGTAATCTGGTGGTGTAACTACAAAAAACAAAAACAAAAACTCCTGCATTTTTTATGAACTCAAAGAAAACTTAGCAGTACAACTCACAGAGCCTTGCCTGAGTTCTGAATATATTATAACAAATAAAAACTCATAGTGAAATAAAGTATATATCCTAAGAGGTAAGTGCCCCTAAAATATATTCTTGTCATCAGAGAAACATATATAGTACTAACATTTTACATAGTTAAATTATTCCAAGCTACATTCTCAAATATTGACATTAAATGGGAAGTTTCTTGAAGTTTATAAGTTTATACTGTAAGATCATATAGCTAAATGACAGTTAAACCCAGGTGTTTCAATAATAAAACTTGTATATATTTGCTAAAAACAAAATGCAATGTAAATAGTACCTTCATCGTAGTAAAAAAGTTTCATTGTCAAACAGACATCATTGGGTAAAGGCCCCAGATTCTGCATCAGAACATAAATCTTGCGAATTAAGAGAATACTTGCTTTCTTTGTGTCAGAAGATGACAGGTTAGAACTACTGCCTTTGCTTTTACTAAGAAAGAACAAAATAATAGAGAAATTATGATATCAGTAATTTACATACCAAATTTAATGTTTTTAAATGTATTCAAGTATATCACATTATTATTCAGGTAAAACCCATCATAACATGAAAATATTTATTTTCAAAGAGCTTCACTAACATTTAATAGGTTAATCACGCCTCAGTTTAATTTTATACACATTAAAATGCCTTCATAATCTCGTTCATTTTTTTATACAAACATTCAAAGAAACTAGTGCTGGAACTTTACTAAGTGGTTCCAATCCCCAAATAAAACAACAATTCAATAATTTCAATGCTTTCCTGCTCTTTGTCCAGGTTTTCCATAAGACTAACATATCCTGAGACACAATTGTGGTGTAGTGCTACTAAAGGATCACAACTCTTAACAACTTTCCTTTAAGGGGTAGATGGGATAGCTTGAATAGCTACAGATAGCAACTCTTAAATTAGTTTTATCAATATGAATAAGTGGAACTCAGTAAGGAAGAAAGAAACTAACAGGACAATACCTTGTGAGATCCATAACTGGTCCATTGCTTGTATACTTGAATTTAAACTGATAACATTCTGAAATTGTCTTAAAACACAAATAAAATATTAGAGTTATGTACCTAACATAGAATGCTAGTTTCCAAATGTTTATTTGCTGCTTTGATTTGGCTATTAAAATGTAAAGCTTGTAAATTCAACAGAATAGAATCAAAAAATGGTTTTCATATGGACTATAACTATTTTTAGAAGTATACACAGCGATAATGGACAAAAAAAGGAGCATAGTCCTTTATGGATAATGGAAAATTTTAAACTACCTGTGTATAGCAATTAGACTCTTTAAGCTTCAGTTTTTTCATTTAAAAAATGGATATAAAAATACTTGCACTACCTACCTCACTGGGCTGTTGTGGAATTAGTTAAATAACATATTTCACTTTGTAAACTGTAACACAATATATAAACATAAGCTATTATTTTAAATTTTTAAAAATTATAAATATATTTGGATATTGCTTTGTATTTGCTTACTGTTTAGTTTACTTCACTACATTTATTTGGATACTGCTTTCTATTGGTTTAGCTTACTTCACTATATTAGCGATCCATGATTTCAACCCCTCTGTCTTTGTAGATAATCTTTATGTACTACAATGGCCAAAAATATTTATTACCTGGTGCCCAACCCTCTAGTAATGACGGTCTTCTCCTAACTTATCTAGGCTAGTCTTTGGTCAACACATACACTGTCCCCTAGCCCTTATTTAAAGCTTGACAGCACCCACCAAAAATTGTGTTTCACTGGTATGTCTTCAAGAACCCATGGTCACCACCACATCATGGTAAGGCACGGAAGTAGGGATTTATGGTTAAGTTATAAGAGAGTATATATTTATTTAATCTTTCCCCCCAGTCACCAATTTCTGTACAGCCCCTCATCAAATCAACAGTGTTATTGATTCAAATTGCCTACAGAGAATGAGACTAAGTGATATATTCCATTATCATCAATGTAAATTTATTGAACATCTTCTATTACATGAAACTTACATTTCTATAGCTTTTTATGATTAATAAGGCCTTACAATCATGTATATTTTCATTTGGATACCAAAGAGAATCAGAGAAAAAAATATTTTCTTCCTTCAAAAAATCTTGATGTTTTATCATTTTCTGCATAATCTGAGACTTTAAATGGAGAGGAATTTCATGCTTGTTCTACTCTCACTTCAGAACTAAGTTATCTCTGGAACTTTCCCTTAGTTTTATTCTTGCTTTCCTTTCTCTCATTCCCTCTACCTTTCTCTTCATTTCTGACCCTTTCCCTTTTCCCCTCCCTGGTTGGGATGCGTTTCAAACCCCCAAATGATGAGTACAATCAGGATTGAGGATGTTTCAGAGTTTGAAGGTGAGAGAAAATGTGTTGGTTTCTTCTCTGACCTCAAGTATGGGCATATTTATTAGATAAGCAGTATTTTGTAGAGAGCCAATATGGTATAGGAAAAAGCAGTGGACTGGTTATCCCAGTAAGAGGGGCATTACTGCAGCCTTATGTCAATCTATTGAAACTGTTAGGTCATTGTCTAAGGGAGTGGTCTCTTTTTCAGTTCTACGCCTTACCTTTTCTGCAGGTGTTAATACTATTAATCATTTCTTCTAACCAGACTGTTTCTCCTTCCATCTTCAGAGACTCCACCCTTTCCAGGTTCTTTTCCCACATCTATACCAGCAGCACCCCGCCCCCGCCCGCCCCCCCCCTTAAAGCTCCTAATCCTTTACCAGTCTTTTAATGTGGGTGTTCCCAAACGTTTGTCTTTGGCCCTCTTTTTTTTCTATTTCTACACCTTTTTGCCTTGGCATATAGCTATTTTTAGGGCTTCAATCTCTATGTAGCCAACTCTCAATCATAACTTTATGAAATTTAGTACTAGAAAGGAAGTTAAATATCCTGTAATCTTATCCCTTTATTTTACAGATAAGAAAACTGAGGTCCACAGAGGTTAAGTGACCTGTTTACCTGCAGCTCTCTTCTGAACTATGGATTCCTATCTCCAACTACTTACTTCACTTCAGTGCATCCCAGGGACTGAAAACTCCACAAGCCCAAAGCCAAGCTCTTTGTGTTTCCACTTCAACCCTATTGTTTTACTATTTCTGCCTAGGGCATTATCATTTAAACCACATTCCATGTTCAAAAGTTTTTTCTTTAACTCTTAATTTTCCCTCTCTTATCCAATCAGTTATGAGAGACAGCACAGCCTGGGAGATAGAGAAATGTCCTGGACTGAAGTCTAGCCTCTGATCCCTCCCAGCTGTGTGACCCCGGACAAACCACTTAACCTCCCTAGGCAACTATCCCAAACTCTAAGCTCCAAAAAGGAAATTCCCTTACTCAGAGATGCACCAATGCACATTATATTAATGTAGTCATGGGTCCTATCCCTCTTGCTGCTGTTTCCACCATTACAATGTCTCTCACATCTGTCTCTTACATCTCTCTCTCTCTCTGTCTCTCTCTCTCTCTCTCTCTCTCTCACATCTCTGTCTGTCTCTCCCTCTCCCCCCTCTATTCCACTCCCATGAGGCTCTGAGCAGAGATTTTCATTGCCACCACCCTACCCTCATTAGCTTCCTTAGTCTTCTTCACTTCCCAAGTTCCCCGAATGTTGCTTCCAGAATAATCCTTCTTGCACATGTCACTCCTTTGCTCAAAAACATTGAGTACCTCCTTCTTGTTGACTGACTAAAGCTCAGATTCCTCTGCCTGACATTCAAGACCTTCTATGATTTGGTTCCATTGGCCTTTTTAGCCTCATTTACTTCTCTCCCCAGTGAATTTTCTATGCCCAACAGACTTTTCCTCTCTCTGTCAACGTTCTGCCTCCAGTCACTTGCACACGTCTCTTTGCTGGAAAGCCTTCAGTCCTCCGTGTGTGCGTGTGCGTGTGTGTGTGTTGTGTAATTCCTAAGCATCCTGTAATGCCCACTTGCATGCCAGGTCACTGACAGAGCTTCTCTGATGCCTCTGGTCAGATGGGCCCCTGGGGCTTTCCAGAGCAATGCACTTATTATGTAATACTGTGTGTCATAGCTCTTTCTGTTGACATTTTACTAACCAACTGCATTACAAACACAAGGCCTTCCCACCTCTCACAGCAGGTCCTTCTCTAGCCTTTGCTATTCTCTATTATGCCATCACTATTGAACATGTCTGCGGCTCTGCATTAGTCACTTAATCCCTGAGCCCTGGCTTCCTTATCAAATAAGGAAGTGTGTGAAAGTTTCTGAAAACTAAAAAGTTTTATAATATCTCCCCTTTGTTACATCACAAATTGAAAAACAAAGTCTTTTTAGATATTAAAGGCAATGCATTATTTTACTAGATCAATCAAATTTACCTGAGGGTCTTCTGGATTGCTGTATACCTATTTAAAATTAATGAAAATAGTTATTTAAGAATAAGCCTATTTTAATTAAACTCATCAGGTAAATTCAGTAAAAGAAACAACTGATTAAACTACTTTAAATTTTGGCATCACTTACACAAGGCCAAATTAAATGATCTTGAAAAATATCAAAGAATCAAAAGTACTTACAGCCAGAACGACCATCCTTAGCTGAAATAAAAAAAAATCCTAATTTTGTAAAATATTTTAAGATGGGTCATAACATTTTAAAACTACTATTTCACTATTTATTCCCAATAGGAAATTACTATCGTACAGGGTGAGCTACATAAACAGATGCCTTAGGAAAATCTTCCTTGTGTCCCATTAATCTCATATCAAACAGACAATTTACTGCCAAAAGTTTCATGAATAATAATAGTGCGGGGTTTTTTGGCTTAAATCAAATAAGAATTTTGAAACCAGTTATAAAAGTAAATACTCTGAGAAACTTAAAATGTTAAAACATCAATAATGATATGACTGCTGCTTTCCTGGGAGCCAGTTTTATGAAAGGAAAGGCAGAATATGAATGCCTAAAGGAAATTGTAAGGAAAGAGACCAAAAAACAGAAGAGTTTGGGAGAGCCCTTAAAAGGGGAGATGAAAAGTAGTAAATAGCTTATTTCACAATTTTTTCTAGGACTACATTTCTGTTTAAATGTAGATATATACTCATGATTATGTTTATATCAAATTTTAGTTAGGTTAGTATATTATAAGTTTGTAGCCAATCCTTATTGATGCAAAATCTGTTAATTCAATCTATACAGTACTGGTATACCTTGACACTGTATTTGGATAAAGGGTATGCTAAGTAAGTCATGGAAAAAGAAAGATTGTTGAAAGTACATTAAACACATAAAGAAGGAGATTTTCCCCCAAACTTTAATATGCTGTTTTAAAGTTAATGATTGTTAGTTACAAACGTTTTAATCTATTAATTAAAACAAGGCTGTTAGGATTTGGGAATACTTGCTTAGTATTATTTCTAATTGATACAGATGACTTAAAGTAAGAAGGCTATTTCTTTATTAATATTCTATAATTCAGATTTTTATCTACTTTGGAGTATGCCTTTCTTAGTCTAATTAGTGATCCTTTAACATGGTAATACTATATATACTAATATAAAAGGTAAAGAAATAACAATGGAAGACTTACATATTTTTTCTGCAAAGCATCATAGCATCCTAGCATCCTAAAAAAATCAAACGTTATTTGTCTTCTATCTTGAACTCTTGCATATTTGAGTACTTCCAGAAAATTAAGTTCTTTGCATAAGTCTTAAGATAGACCATTACAAAAGTAATTTTAAAACTGTTTCACTGTTTTAGGTTAAACAGAGGCTTCTCTCATATATTATGGAAGAATTATAAAATTATAGCAGGAAATAGGAAATGAGACAAGAGGAAATATTCTAAAGGCAAAATACAGGTTTTGGCAGCTATTGGGGGAGAGGGTAACTAGAGGTAATTCAGAAATCGAGCCTATTGTGTTGTTATAGGACCTGAGAAAAATAGAAACTTGAAGAAATATTATGGGGTTGTAAGGGCTGAAGGGGTTAAATTCAGTTAAACAATTTAAAGTATGCATAGCTAAAACAAGTTCAACCAAAGATTTTTGTGACTTAAAGAAAACCTCTCCTATTAGGTACTCTTATGCTTACCATTTCACTAACTGAGTGGATTCTGGACAATTTTTGTCTTCTCTCAGAATTTTGACACAAAGATCTAAACATAAAAATATGATAATGCTATTTTGCTTCTTGAGGAAAAAAACAGTAAAAACTTAGAAACAAATAAAATCGCATTTATGAAATACAAAGTACAGAATGAAACTGTAAATTTTTTTACTTAGTATTTTTTCCCAATTACATTTAAAGACCATTTTCAACATTTCATCTTTGTAAAATTTTGAGTTCCAAATCTTTCCTCCCTCCCTTCTTTACCCCCGCCTGAAGGTAGCAAGCAATGTCATATAGATTATATAAGTACAATCCTGTTAAAATATTTCCATATTAGTCATGTTGTGAAAGAAGAAATCAGAACAAAAGGGAAAAACCACAAGAAAGAAAAAAAAAGTGAAAATTGTATGCTTTGATCTGCATTCAGACTCCACAGTGCTTTTTCCGGATGTGGTTAGCATTTTCTATCATGAGTCTTTTGGATTGTCTTGGATCATTGAATTGCTGAGAAGAGCCAAGTCTATCATAGTTGATCACTGCACAATGATGCTGTTATTGTGTACATTGTTCTGGTTCTGCTCACTTCATTCAGCATCAGACCATACAAGTCTTTCCGGGTTTTTCTGAACTCAGCCTGCTCATCACTTCTTATAGCACAATAGTATTCCATTACATTCATATACCACAACTTGTTCAGCTGTTCCCCGATTGATGGACATTCCCTCAATTTCCAATTCTTTGCCAACACAGAAAGAGCTGCTATAAATTATTTTTGCACGTGTGGATCCTTTCCCCATTTTTATGATCTCTTTGCGAAACTGACCTAGTAGTGGTATTGCTGGATCAAAGAGTATGCATAGTTTTATAGCCCTTTGGGCACAGTTCCAAAATGCTCTCCACAATAGCTGGATCAGTTCACAACTCCACCAACAATTCATTAGTTAGTGTTCCCATTTTCTCCAGCATTTATCATTTTCCTGTTTTGTCATGTTGGCCAATCTGACAGGTGTGACGTGGTACCTCAGAGTTGTTTTGATGTGCATTTCTCTAATCAACACTGATTTAGAGCATTTGTTCATATGACTATAAATAGCTTTAATTTCTTCATTTGAAAATTGCCTGTTCATATCCTCTGACTATCAATTGGGGGGATATTTTTTGTAAATTCTTCAGTTACATATCAATGGTTTTTTGTTGTTCAGCCATGTCTGACTCTTCATAACCCCATTTGTTTTTTTGGTTTTGTTTTTCTTTTGGCAAAGATACTGAAGTGGTTTGCCATTTCCTTCTCCAATTCATCTTACAGATGAAGAAACTGAGGCAAACAGGGTTAAGTGAGTTGCCCAGGGTTGCATAGCTAGTAAGTATATGAGTCCAGATTTGAACTCACTATAGCAAGGGTTAAATTTACATTATTGTTGAAATTTAGCAGTGAATTTCCAGGTAACGAACATTATTATGTATTTTAAAAAATAAAAAATGTGAACACATTGTATTACTAATACAATAATAATACAGCATGGTATTATGAGGATTACTGTGCAATCTAAAAAAAACTAGAAAAAATATACTCTTATCATATTTATCATCAAAGTATTTGCTAAGACTCCATCAGCAAAATATAAGCGGTTTCACAGGACCAAGAGATTAACAGTCTAAAAAAGGTCAATAAGCATAGTATATCATGTCCACATTCTTTTCATTTATTTAAATCAGCACAAGAACAGATACTACTGCTGCACAAAGCTCTACAGTGCACTACTTTTGTCCACTGCACTATTAGTGCATAGTGGCAGGTAGAAATAATTCACACCAAGCAAAAATTGAAGACCAGTCTTCATCGCCCTTCAAAGGGTGAAGCAGAGGAGACAGATAGATTTTTTAAAACCTTAAAAATCAAAATCTCAATAAATCAAAGCTAAATTAGAGTTTTGAAACAGAAAAATACGGCACATCCTTTAAAAAGGCCTTTATAAGAATTACATTACCATCTAAATATCTTGTTCCATAGGCACATTCTGGAAATATTCCTCTTAAGTATGTTATACAGGATACAGAAACTGCTAGGAGCCTCTTCACCAACACCAAGGACTGTTGCTCACTTGAAATCTTATTAGGAAATATCACTGCACTCTAAAATTTAAGAATTAAAACATTTTCCAATAGTCATAGTAAAAAATGAAGTTGACAAAAATAATTCAATAACAATTTTGAATAAGTTTAGCTATTTCCCCCACTAGTCTTTTAAGTGGTTGGGGGATCCTGTGCTAAATAAAGGAGGGAGACTTTTTGTAACTGAAATGTACACTACTAAATATAAGTCATCTAACATTAATTTGGTAGTAGAACAATTGTATGCAAGCATACAACACTTATCACTAGTGCTAGGTCATTTTCTTTTTTTTGTCACTATCTAGCTAGAAACAACAGAGATACAAGCTTCTTCTGTACTTAGAACAACAGACAACATTTAGAAGAAAATCACTGATATGTGTCTTTGTGGAAGGACCTCCTTTTCCAGAAAGATGGAATGAAGCTGACAAACTTATATTTCTTAAAGTCACTAAGCAACTTTCTCTAAGACCTAATATAGAATGAACTTGAACCAAGAACTTAAGTAAAAGCTCCCAAAATCCTTTTTTTTAAAACACATTTTTAATGCATTCTCAACATGTCAAGCACTTGCTAAGTGATCATTATTTTTTGGGAGAACATAATTTATTTTTATAATAAAAGGCCCAAGCATAAAACATTTGATTGTAATTATGTTTTAAATGTAAAAATCCATTATAAAGTAATTGGAGCTCAGAGGGACCCACTAAGAGACTTCTTGGTTTATTTCTAGTAGCAAAGTATAATATTCATATAAATGGAGTCATACCATAAAATTCCTCTGCATCTGAGCAGTAGCCATTTTTCTTCATAAAAGTGTCCAATTTATTCCAACCTTGTGAAAAAAAAACCCAAAAAATTTTTAACTCTCGATTTTATTCTTATCCTCACCATTCTAAATTCTCATCTCTATACACAGTAGACAAGAATTTCTAATGAAGAAGAGATGAACACATGGAAAGTTTCCACACCCAAAATTAAATAACTTTGAGAAAAAATCTTCCTTCCTATAATTTTCTCATTTTTTTATACTTGCCTTTGACTAGCAAGAATCATCATGTAAGGGAAAATAATAAGCCAAGTTCAACAGTTTGTGAAATTGGACATACAAGTAAAAAAAGATAATATGGCTTGTTTCTTCTCTGTGCACTTTTTCTTTTTTGGTCTACTTGGTAGGGTCAGCAAATTCCTCAGTAAACACTACTAATAAAAGTTGTTACCCCACTACCCCGTCATGCCCTCCCTGTTCAAAAAACCCATTTCCCTTCCCCTCATTTGTCTTTTCAGGCTGCAGTTTAAAATAACAGACTGTTATTCTTCCCTTACTGCAAGTGACAACACACTGCACCCAATTTGCCCACGGTGATTTTCTAGAGGCCAACAAAGGGAAGCAGGGCACATGCATTTTTTAAGCATCTGATTTTTTAGCAAATCTTTTGTAGTTTCGTATGGTTTGTGGCTTTCCCCTTTCAATCCGCAGTAATGGGCGGATAACCAAGGCCCGGCGTGCCTCTGGGCCGCCTCAATTTGCCCTTTTCATGATCTGCGGCCTGGACACAACCTTCTGCAAAAAGTTACAAGCCCCGTTTGTCGGTTTCTAAAATATTTAGACATTCTGCCCAAGACTCGAAGGAGTCAGCCTGTGTAACTAGAGATTGGGAAACAGCGGGCTAAATACGTATTTTACAGGACGCCTGGGAAGCCGACTCGCGACGAACGACGACAACTTCTCGGGCGCAGGTACGTTCTGCACACTGCACACTGCGCACGTGCCAACCTTCGCCAGGCCCCACCCCCGGCGGTTAACGCCCAGGGCACGAGGACCCGGCAGGCCAATTCCGAGGCCGCTTTTCCCGCCCTACGAGCCCGCAGCCTGCCGGGAAAGCGCCGCCTAGTAATCCTCAGGCCCGGGTGAACGCCGCCGTTGCTTGGAGCCGCTGCCCTCGTGCTGCGCGGCCTGGCCTCTTTGCCCCGGACGTGCTTCACCTCCGCCCGCCTCGTGCGGCCCTGCGGGGCTCGGGGGCCTGAGCGCGGCCGCGGCGGCCCTACCAGAGTGCCCATCACTGCTCCAGGATCTGTAGCTCGTGCATTCCCCGGCTGGGCCGGCCTGCCCTAGATGATAGAGGAAAAAAGGACGTGGCCCAAGGGGTTAATGGCGGCAGGAGTCTGCACAATGTTGTTCTGCACGTTAGGGCTGTTTTTCTTTTAGAATTAATTTTGCACCATTTATGTGCCGTGTCTCCCTGTTAGTGTGAGCTTCTTCAAAGCAATGGCTAGCTAGCTTCTTTTGCTATCGGAATGAAGCCCCAGAGCTGCGATCAGCGCTTGGCACATGGTAACTGCCTAATAAATATTTTTGCCCCCCCAAGTAACTAATTTCAACGGCATTAAATGCCTTTTTCGGTGATAGTCAACAGTGCCAATTTGGCAAGATAATCAATGAATTTAATAATCTGGCCTTAAATATAAGGAAGATGAAGATGAATTGATATACCCATCTCAAATTGATCTCTCTCCCTCTGTCTCTCTCCCTCTCCCCCCCCACTATGTGAATGTGTGATGTAATTTCTTGTCTTTTTCCGTCTATGTAAATATATAATGTGATTTCTTAAATCAGCTATACAATTTTTTAATTAAGTAGGGTAAACAATTATTTCTTATAAAATGTAGGTGTGTATTTCCACAATTTTTTTTAAAGGAAAGATTTGAGTCCTCAGTATTGTGTTTCCTTCTGTGGAAAAAGGAAGGACTAGACTAGAATGTTTAGTATTGCATTTCCTCCATTAAAATGATCAGCATGAAATGCATTTGTCAGTAGGACATTCAGAAGAAATATAGAAGAGAAAACAAACTATTCTATGTCTGGGCCAAGATACTGCCTTTGCTTTCATTTCCTCTGAATTGCACAATAATGATAACAAAGCTGCCATGAGATTGGACGTAACCTGAAGAGTGAAAAAAAATGGAATCAGTATCCTAGAGGCCAAACCATTTGATACAAGAAAAAAAAATAGCAGTTTTTCAGAAAATAAGTTTGTTTATACTAGCATATACCTCAATAAATTACACGTGGCTATATGACCTAAATATAAAAGATCACATCATTTAAACATTAGAGGAGAAGAAACAGGTACCTTTTAGATCTGTGATTAGGAATTAAATTCTCAGCTAAACAAGAGATAGAGGCTATTTAAAATAAAAATTAAAAAATTTGGTTACATAAAAAAGCTTTTACTTGAACAAAATTAAAATGTATATAGAATAAGAGAAAATTCACATGGGGAAAAAAGTCTTTGCTCTAAATATTTTTGATAAAGTTCTGATACCCAGGTTTCATGGGAGCTTGGCATAAATATATAAGCTGAAGAGTTCTTTTCCAAAAGATGTGTGACAAAAAAAAAAACACAACAAAACATAGCTGTGTGACCCTGAGCAAGTCACTTAATCCATTGCCTAGCAAAAAAAAAAAGCTATTTGATCAAAAAGGATATGAATAGTTTTTAAAAGAAGTGTAAACTATCAATAACCATATTAAAAATGCTCCTAGTCCCTAGTAATAAAATGCAAATTAAAACAACATTCAGTTTCAACTCACAGCCATCAAACTGATAATGTTCATAAAAGATGTAAAAAGTAGTTGTTGGAGTATATTTGGGAAGACAGGCATTGTTGGTACCATTCTGTCAGTTGGTACCATTCTGGGCAGGGCAGGGTGGGAAATTTAGAATCATATGAGAAAAGCCACTAAACAATTCATACCCTTTGACCTATGAATCATATAATTCAAAGACAAAGATATTCTATATATGCAAAAATATTGAGAGCATCACTTTTCGTGGTAACAAAAACTGACAAAGTGAGTTCCTGTCATTTAGGGAATGATTGAACAAACTGTGGCATGTGAATATAATGCAATATATTTGTGCAAAGAACTACATATATAGGAAATACGATAAGACTTTTATGAACTGTTGCTTAGTAAAAGAAACAGAACTGAGGGACGATATATACGATGACTGTAATGATATAAAAAAATGCCACTAAAAAGCAGCCAGATTACTTGCAGTAACCAATCTTGGTCCTGGGTAACAGATGATGAAACATATTTCTTTGTTTCTTTTGGAGAAGTGTGGGATTATAGGTATAGAATGTGGCATGTACTATCACACGCAGTTGCTTTATCAGTTTTGCTTAACTGTTTTTTTGCAATTAGGATTCACTGGGGTGTGGAAGGTATAGAAGGAAATTACTGAGGTGTATGAAAACAAAAGGTAGCAATAAAACTTTAAAAGAAGTCATTGTCTTTCTCTATACCCAATCAGGAACCCCCACTACAAAAACCACGATAGATAATTTGAACTTTGCTTGTAGTGTAGGTGACAAGAGATTCATTACCTAAAAGGAAGCCCATCTAATTTTGGATAGTTTTCATAGTAATAAAGTCCTTTCTCTTGCCTCCCTGTAACTTTCACCTGCTTTCCTGCTTTCCAGTTCTGCTCCCTACAACTAGACAGATTAAGTCTAATCCCTGTTACATCTGATGGTTCTTCAAATATTCAAAGGCAGTGATCATACTTCCACTAAGTCTACTCTTCTACAAGCTAACATTTTGATAACCGAAGAAATAAGCTTATGCAAGTGTACATGTTTATGCATTTTTACATATTTAATTAAATCTAATGACATTATACTTTGTTCCAGCAATGTTGGAAGAAAAAGCAAGTTATCCTTTATATTCCATTAGTAATTATTTATTAAATTTTACAAAGTACTTTCTTTACAACTGTCCTATGAAGTAGGCCTATCTTATAAAGGAGGGAACTAAGACTGAAAGGTTAAATGACTTTCTAAGGGCCTTACGGCTGATAAGTGACAGATTTAGGATTTGAATTCAGGTCTCTCCTGCCACCCTTTCCAGCTTTCTTTTCTACAATTATGATACTTGCATTGATGAATCTGTTCTTTATATACATATCTAGCTATAGCTTTGAGTATCAGCCTAAAACAAACAATAATGATTATAAAAGTAAGCATAAATAAAAGTTTTTCTCATTGCTATTTCAGTAAATGACACTGAAAGGGGAAGTATATCTATAGTTCTCAAGAAAAATTGTATTTCCATTTGCTATTTCATTAGATATAGCCAGAATTACTTATAGAATTTTAAAATATCACGGGATCCATAAATCACAGAATCACAGGATGAGGTTCTCAGCTAAATATATGCATATGTTTATATATAATACACTTATACAGAGCTCTGTATATGTATATATACATATAGAGATATGTGCATATATGACATATATTCATATATGGCAAGATCATACTGAATTTACAATAAGTCATTAAATGATGCAAGAATATTATTTACAAATGAGTAGTTTAATGATAAAGAGAATGTAAAAACGTACTAGGCACTGAGCCAATTATGTGTAGGTTGCTGGGATGGATGCTGGCAATACAAACACAAAAAATAAAAGTCCCTGGACTTAAGAATTTAGGATCTAGTAGAAGGATAAGACATACACATTTCAGTATTTTGATGAATCTGTTATTTCATTGGTGTACATCCAAGTACACTATATCATTTCCCTGATCTACTAGTCTAACAAGTCTGTTTAAAAAAAAAAGATATGAGGTTAGTGTAGCATGACCTATTCTTGATGAAGCCAAGATTAATATTCCCTTTCTAAATATTTAAAATCTGTAAGTATATACTGTTGAATTTTGTCCAGAATCAGAAAATCATGACTGTCTAAGTCAATCCATATCTCAAAAAAGGGCACTACCACAATAGACATTGTAACAACAGGGTTTTGGAGTCAACTATGCTTACTTGTAGCACATGTGAGGTAGTCTTCCCTCAGTCAGCTACTTAACTTGTTACCATATTCATTCTCATAATCCTGAGTTCCAGGGTAATTCATGGGTAGGTTTGAATAGGGATAGGGACTGAATCTGCAGTTTCATTGGTATGGGAACTTCTGGGTGAGGAAACTCCCTCTATAATGAAGATCAGCATTTACTCTGCAATTTATAGACTGATATTTTCCATCAAAAGTTAAGTAACTTGCCTGGGGTCACAGAGAGGCAGGGCTTGAACAAAGTCTTCCTGGCTTTGAGACTGGCTCTCTATCTATGCCATCCAATGCCTGGATATTTCCTTATGTTTAAAAAGTAATTTATTTATTTTTCATTTTCAACATTCACTTCCATAAACTTTTGAGTTTTAAATTTGCTCCCCTCTCTCTCTCCTCCCCCCTCCCCAAGATGACATGTAATCTGATATAGACTCTACTTAAACATTCATATTAAGCATATTTTCAACATTAGTCATGATGTATAGAAGAATTAGAACTAATGGGAGTTACCATGAGAAAGGAGAAATAAAACAGCAACAACAAAAAAAAGGAGAGCAAATAGTATGCTTCCATCTGCATTCAGGCTCCATGGTTCTTTCTCTGGATGTGGATATGGATTTTCTGTCCTGCGTCTTTTGGAGTTGTCTTAGATCTAATATTTCCTTATAATGACTAAAATTGCACATCTCCCTTATTATTTTTCCCCACCACAACCCTTCCCTATCCCAAACTTCCCTGTCATTGTCCAAGAGTACTATTATCCTTCCAGTCATCCAGACTTACAACCTTTATGTCATCCTTAACTCCTTACTCTCACTCCATATATGCAATCCATTGCCAAATATTGACCTTTCTATCTTTTTGACATCTTTTGTTTACCTCTCTTTCTCTCTATCCACACAACCT